TACAGTGATTGGTCCAACCAAGGGTACATGACTCAAATTAGCTGTCTAAGAGGTTTTATTATTATTTTTTAAAGCAAGGGGTCAAATCATTCTTTTTTTTTTTTTTAAAGGATATTTTGGTCTTCAGGGGTGCTGTGGGTTGGATGTTTATCCTCTCCAAACTGATGTTAAAATTTAATTCCCAGGGCCAGCAGGTGGTGGTGGTTAAGGGTGCTAGACTTGGCCGGCTGTGGTTCCTGTCCTGGATCTGGTGACCTGGTGGCTTGCTTTCTAACTTTCTCTCTCTCTCTCTCTCTTGCTCTCGCTTTCGCTCTCTTGCTCTCGCTCTGCCCCTCCCTGGTCAAATTAAAATAAATAAATAAATAAATAAAGTTAAATAAAATAATTTTAAAAAAATTAATTGCGGAACCAGCAGTAGGCGTAATGGCTATGTCACTGGACTCCCATGTGGTCGATCACAGTTCATGTCCCAGACCCGGTGGCTGAAAACCCACGCCGGGCGCATGTGCGTGTGTCCCTAAGATCCCGAGAGGAGAATGGAGGAGAAGGGATTGCGGCATGGCCATCCCCCCTGGGGGGTGATTTCTCGCTTTCTGTCTCTCTGTCTCTCTCTGTCAGTCTGGTGAGTGCATGCGCCCTATGGCAAAAACCTTTCAAAAAAAAAATTAATTGCCATTGTACCAGTAGTAAGAGGTGGAGCCTTTGAGCAGTGATTAGGCCTTGAGGGCTGCACTTTCATGGGTGGGACTGATGCTATTACAAAAGGGTAAGCATGGTCTGCTCACTCTCTTGCCTTCCTACAAGAAGGCAAGAAGGCCCTCGCCAGATGCCAGCACCTTGCCGCTGGATTTCCTGGCCTCCAGAACTGTAAGTCAGTGAGCCTCCGTTCCTTATACATTGCCCTGTCGCAGATACTGTTACCTTAACACGAAATGGACGCAGGTGGGAGAGTACGAGGTCTGTCACAACTCTCAAGTCCATGTGAAACTGCGCTCACAGGAGAAGCTCAAAGAAGTCTGTCACAGGGCCTATTTAACCGTGCAGGTCCATCCCTTTAACACACAGCCTCAGGTTGCTCGGTCCTCAGCCAGCTGGCAGATTAAAGAGAGCACGCAGGGGGAAGAAATCTCTCTTCACTGCCATGGGCCACAGCCCCCTTCTACTCACATTCCATCAGCAAGAATTAGTCACGTGACCCCTCAATGCAAGGGTCTGGGGAACATAGTTATGTGTGGGCCCAAGAAGAAATGGGTCTGATGTGCATCCAGCCGTCCTCTGCTTGGACTCCACCATAGGTAACATAGGATGGAGTGAGAGAAAACCGTAAGACCTAGGACCGTGTCTGGCACCTGCACGCGTGCACACATACCACACACACGCACACACATACTAGGAATGTTAGGTGTGCCGATGAAGGAAGCTGAAGGAGAAGGAGAAAGTCTCTCTCCCTCTCTGGATGTGGAGACACAGTAATGTCATCTCAGAACAGCCTGCAGCCATGGCGCCTCCTGAGTGGGGAAAGCCACAAGAAAGAGACAGCGACACACAGAAAGAGGACCGCGGTGAGAGCAGAGGACAGGGAGGGCCCTGCCTGCATGAAGTGCCGGTTGCAGCCGAGCTGGCCTTCGGTCTCCGGTCTGTAATAACTCTAATAGCTAGAATCCATTAAGTCCTCCCATGTGCCACATGCTTTTGTTAAGCCTGCTCTCTCTCTCTTTTTAATCTCTTTCATGAGGGTGAGAGACAGAGAGAGCGAGGGAGGGAAAGACCAGCACCCTCAGCAGAGCCTCACATCATGACTCCCCACCCCGTCCAGCCTTCCAGCCGGCCAAGACCACGGTGCCGGGACACAGCCACACACAGGCCTACCAGGGAGGGACCGCAGCCTCCCGCACGGATCCGGCAGGCGTTGGGCAGGAGCTGGTCGCCAGCTCCCTCAGGCGCTTGATGTCAAGCTCCAACCGTGACAGGGGGGTCAGGATTTAGATAATGGTTTGTCCCCCAGATGTTTAAGTTTGGGAATTTAATCTTAGTGGGTAGTGATTGGATGCCCCTCAAAAGTCTGTGTTGATCGTATCGTAAAGATGTTAGTGAGAATTTGATCCCCTCGTGGTGTCCCAGTGGGGCCTCTGGGTGTGACAAAGTCACTAGGGCAGGGCCCACGACTGAGTCCTGGTCGGTGTGTAAGGAGAGACACGCGCAGGCAGACGCTACACAAATTCAGGCTGGCCTGGGAGAGTTGTGTCCAGCAGCTCTGCTCAGACCCTACCTCCAACCTCCGACCCCCGACCTCCGACCTCTGGCCTGCTGTCGACTCACCAGATGCTGGTCCCTGGGCCCCGCAGCTCCAAACCATGAGCTGAATAAACCTTGATTTCTTTATAAATTCATGGCCTCAGCTATTTCCGGTAACAACGCAGTCACGGACTAAGATAGGGGAGCATCATTTTTTTTTTGGAGAGGTTTTCGCTATAGGGCGCATGTGCTCGCCAGACAGACAGAGAGAGACAGAGAGACAGAAAGCGAGAAATCACCCCCCAGGGGGGATAGTCACGCTGCAATCCCTTCTCCTCCATTCTCCTCTTGGGATCTTGGGCATGCACGTACACGCGTCTGGCGTGAGTTTTAAGCCACCGGGTCTAGGACACGAACCGCGGTTGACTACGTGGGAGTCCAGCGACATAGCCATTACGCTAACTGCTGGTCCCGGGGAGCATCATTTTAAGGAATTAACCAGCACTTTTTAAACATATTAAATGTTATTTGTTTGTTATTGCCAGAGGCCCATGAGCTCACCAGAGAGGAAGAGAGGGGACAAGCACCCCCTAAGAGGGCATGATGGTGCCATAATCGCTGCTCCATCTCTCCATTCTGTCGGAATCTGGGGACAGACACACACCTGCCTGGCATGTTTTCCAAGCTGCCAGGGCTGAAACTCAAACTGCAGGTGGCCATGTGGGATCCAGTGCCTTAACCACTGGGGCCAGCTCTAAGATCATGTTTTTAATTGACGAATAATAATCATACATATCTATAAGGTACAATGTGATATTTTGATATATGTTTACATCATGGAATGATGAAATAAATCTAATTAATAAATCCATCACCTCACAAACTTATTTTTAGTAGTAGAAACATTTGGTATCAGCATTTTATTTTTAGTATCATTATTTTGTTTTCGCTATAGGCCACATGCACTCACCAGAGAGAGACAGAGAGGGGGGGAGTGAGAAGTCACTCCCCAAGGGGGATAGCCATGCTGCAGTCTCATCTCCTACAGTCGCCTCTTGGGAGTTGGGGCATGCACGCACATGTGCCCAGCATGATTTTCCAGCCTCCGGGTCTGGGACTCGAACTGCACAGTTGGCCATGCGGGATCAAGCCACCTCCGTGGCACCTGCTGGTCCAGTACCAGCATTTTTCAAATAAGCAAAATCGAGTATGTTAGACCGAATTAGAGCTAGGACTAGAACAGCCTAGAACAAAATATTGGAACATACCACACAAGGTAAGGGCAGATACAGCCTTACAGACTTGTGGTTTTCATTTCGTGTGCAGAGTCAGGGTGTAGAATATTCTCCTGCTGTGTGTCCTCACCCCTCCCGATGACCATTCAGAGCTGTTACCGTAAGTCCCGTACAGAGAGGGAAGTGGAGTACTGAGGGTGGCCATGCTCGCCAGGGGCTGTACTTACGGGGTAGCGCGTCGGCATTGGGCCCACGCCTGGCTCCCAAGACTCACTCTAAGATCCACGCTGATACACTATTGTCGTAATACATCGGTAACTTCCCTTTTGGCCGAAGCTCCTTCCAGTCGGATCGCTGTGCTTCACTGCCCGGGCGTTCTGACCAAGAGAGAGAGTGAAGCGGGCTACCACCGAGCCTCTGCCTGACCGGACTTTAGTCCAGCTCCTGACCTTCTCCTGGCCCGTCCGTGTGCATCCTTATAAAATCTCATTTCAGGAGGAGCCTGCCGAGTCAGCTTAGCAAGGACTCCCACCATCCAGATCCCA